AAAAGATATTTACCTACAACTGGTACTAATCATAGTTTTAATATAAATGTGAATTACATAGTTTCTTCTGTGAAAAGTAACTTTGGAGGTAATAAATTTACTTGTTAAACTATTATTAAAGAAAATAATATGTATATAGAAATTGAAAAATATGCTCCTTTAAATCATTGCATTTGTTTTTAGTTGATTTTTACTCACTTTGTTGTTTTAAATAAATAATGAAATTTATTATGAATTTTACAAATTTGGTGCCTAATAAGTTATACAAAGCTTTTTATAAAAAACAATGTTTTTTAGCATGATATTCTGCTATGAAAGAAAAACAAAATTTAAGATGTTATATATTCTTCTTTAACTAATTCTGTATTATTTAATTTAGCTTCTAAAATTCCTGAGATTTTTACTAAAATTATAATCCAGCACTAAGGAAACCTACAACATAATATTTTTAAAATGTATTTTTAGTGATTAAGAATATTATTATACTAGAGCGACCATTCGATGGCTCAATCAAAAACCGCCACAAGTGAAAAAACAAAAAAAATGATATTTTTAGTTCAATGGATACAAAATATCATAAAATTTTTATATTAAATACCGCCACAAACAAAAATATCCTTAGATATGCCCGAAATCACAAATACAATTAAATTAAATATAACGGTTCACTAGTACAGAAAAGTAATTAATTAGAAAAATTATTATCCACTCTGTTTACTTCACTAAATAAAATTTGTTAAATAAAACAGGTGAATTATAAAGAACTAAAAAAAAACTAATTCGGAAAACTACAGCGCTCCCTGTAATTGGAAAATATATTTCTCAATAATTAAAATTAATGAAATAAAACGGTATGATTATGAGACGGAAAATGGTCAAAACGGAAGCCTCAATGTGTAGAAAAATAACCTTTTCAACTAGTAAATTAATAATGCACGACGACGGAATGATATCAAAGCCGTCTAGATAATTTGCATGAATTTCTGTCTTTAAATACGAATATGATTTACGGTAAATATTTTAAACTACGGGGGCTCTCTCAAATGTTCAAAACCAGCAATTACTAAGGAATCGACCAAACTTCTTCCGGAAGAAGGATGCCAGATCTCGAGCGTCGTTGATGTTGGCGAAAGTGCTATGGACCAGCGAGTAATCTTTAGGAACCGCCAGCAGGTTTTGTTGTTACTTGGTTGTAACACCATGTCTTGTTTTTCGGGTACCTCTATATGCATCCATACATTCTTCAAACACAAGGTCAGGTGTTTCTTGAAGCTAGTTTACTCCTTCTTCCTCGTCATGGTCACCTTCAAATGGCGCCAGCCGGTTTAGGTGCACTAACTTCGGTCTACGGTTCGGGATCTTACTTATACGGTAAATGACATCATTGATTTTTTTCTGATAAGATACGGACCTTCCCAAGACCTTTGAAGCTTCGGAAAATAACCCTTTTGGGTTATGGATCCAGACTTTATCGCCTTCCTTGAAACATCCTTTTGTGGCTTGGGTATCGTATCGCTTCTTCATTATGTTACTGGCGATTTGAAAATGCGAGCGAACTAACTCATGCATGTCGTCCATTTTTCGTCGTAGTTGGATCAAATAATCTTCACCGGCTATGTCTTCTCCAGGTCGGCATCCAAACTTGAACAATCATCAGTCTCTTGTACTCGCTTTAATAAGCCTTTTTCAAGAATAAAAGAGTCCCATTAAGACTCTTTCCATTGTCACATTTTTTTAAAACGGGATCGTTATCTTGTTCTTCTCTAAGACCGCTGTTCTTAAAACAAGAAATATTAACATTAACATCTTTATTTATCTTAGAAACTTGTTGCATGATCCATAAGAACAAGTCGAAATATAAATCGAATACATCCCGTGTAACTCGCCAAACGGGTAACTTGAAGTTGCCTATTCCCAAAACTGAACTAATAAGAGACTCTTTTATATACAATAGTATCAAGATGTACAATAGGCTATCACATACTTTGACAGATGTTGAGTCACAGAATTGTTTTAGAAAGCTGATCAAGAGATTTCTGTTAACTAGGCCTTATTATAATATTACGGAATTTTATAATGACGAGACACTGTGATATGTGTTTTATTTTGTTTTGTTCTATTTTATTTTAGATGTATGCATTAATGTTAATTTATAATAATGTTTGTTTATAATTTAATGACTATTTATTTATTTGTAATTTGTACAATATTGTGTTTGTCAATAAGTATTTTAACCTGGACAATAAACATATATTCCACAGCTTGTAGGAGGTCTAATTGCTAGACTTTTTGTATCTAACTATCTTTTCAAGTAAGTTTATCGCGTATTTTTTGTCAAAGGCTCCCATATCCATACTCATATTGTGTTAATGTATTAACAGTGGGGGTTGCCATACGATAATGGGATGAATTATTTCTAGTAGATGAAAAAAAAATAAGGGTTTAAAAATCCTCTTATTTTTCGTTAAATACCCTTTGCTAAACGATATTCAAGACTATTTATGCCGCTCCTATAGGCCTATTCATCCAGCTCTCTAAAATAGACGTTTGTGTCTGAAATGACTTCCAAATCGTACGTATATTTCTTGTCTGCGTGAAACTTTGTTGTGTTTGGAATGAAACTGAAATCCGAAGGGGCTAAGTCTGACGAGTAGGGTGCATTGGGTATTAATTCAAAGCCCAGTTCATCAATTATAGCAATTACTATAATAGAATTTTAACATTGCGCATTGTTTTGATGGAACAAAACTTGTCTTTTCTCCAGTATTTTCTGTTGCAGCTGATTAAGAAGCAAGTCAGCATATTACTGTCCATTTAATGTTTTATCCTTTTTAAGATAGTCAATAAAAATAATGCCTTTCTGGCCAATGGAACTATTTTCGCCTTCTTTTAGAATGATTTGCCTTTCGCGATCAAAATCACAAACCCCACTATATGGTCAGGCTGCAAATTATTCATTCTCATCCTCGTGTGTGAGTAAGGTGGATTAAACACATATAGAAAAGGAAACGTCTTTTAAATCTTACAATGTTATCTATACAGTGCTTCTCAAAAGTCCCCTCCCCCCTCTTTTCTTTTGAACGGTGGTACTTAGACTGATGACGTAATAGGCATCGGTGACATCACCAGGCAACTGAAACCAATAATATTAAATGGGACCTTATGGCAAGTGACATCTCGTTTGAAAGGTATTTAGAATACCTATTCAGTCATACTATTTTTTTTTTATTTACGATGTTTTTTTTAATATTATTGGTTGCAGTTGCCTGGTGACGTCACCGATGGTGACGTCACCTATTACGTCACCTGTTACCACTAGTAGAGAAGCTCACAATAGTTCATTTCCACCCTTCAAATTTCATCAGTCTAAGTATCACCGTTCAAAAGAAAAGAGGGGGGAGGGGACTTTTGAGAAGCACTTTATGTTAATGTTGCAATGTTAATCTCACAAGTTTAATCTAACACTGTTATTCTCACAATTGTAATGTTTATATCACAACATTAATGTTATTCTCACAATGTTAATGTTATTCTCACAATGTTAATATCACAATGTTATATAAAGGACCTTTTCATTTCCTGTCAAATAATTTATTTTACATAATTCCTTTAGTTATTAGTTGCACAATTCATAAATAAAAGATTACAAAGCAACAATGTACATGGATAAATAAATAGAAAGAGATGGCGTAAGGCACTGGCTGTTTTTAAGGTAATGTTATTTTAAGGTAGAGCATTGCCCATATGAGTCAGCCTCTGGCTATGGCTCTGAACCAATATTTCATTCTCAAAGAAACTGCAAAACTTTAGATTAGGAGTTCCTTGTTTATTTATATGATCTTTGGGTCAACAAAATTAAGAGATCTTTTTTATGTTTATAATGTAATAATAATTATTGTAGGTTCTTTTTTTACCTATGTGTTGTTTATGTAAAAAAATATAGTGTTTTATTTATCAGTTATTGTAAAATAATTTATGGTTAATTCATTAAAATAAAAAATAAAAATTTTTGCTTTTTCATTTTTTTGTTAGATCGTCGCGCCGGTCCAAGGGGTCACATCAGCCCCTGTACTTCACAGAAAATAAAGTGTGTTAATCTCGACGATTATGTTTTAATTCAAACTAAAATCAAAGTACAAGACCTTACAATTACTAATAAAATTAGCTTTTAAATGAAGTTTTATATGGCAAAATATGTGACATACTTGGTACTTTCCTCGGAACTTTCCCTATTTAATTTGTTTTGGTTTGTCGGGTCGGTAGTGTAGCAGTCTAACGCGCTTCTATTCATTTATAGGCAATTTTATGGTCCGAGACTGCCGGGCTTCGAATTGCAGACCAGACTATGTGGATTTTTAATTAAATTGCATGGTTCGGTACAGGATTTGATGTGTACCGTATTAATAGAAATTCAATTTCTGTTGATATGACATGCAGATTATAAAATCGCCATGCATTACCGTCTTGATGATGGTAGGTAAGGTTTTCCGGGTTTTCCTCACCTGTAAGTCAAATGGCACCATCAATCATCTTTAAGTCGCCCCGCAGCGCCACGGATATAATAATAGTCGTCCCTTTCCCCGCACAAGCTCAGCTTTTGGGGTTAAAATTCACTCGTAAGGGGGTGAATCAGGGAGAGTATTATTATTATTATTATTATTATTATTAGAGTGACGGAGAGGAGGGAAATGGCGTATGACAGTTGGGGATATGGTAGAAATCTCCAATTTTTTGGGTTTTTGCCAAAAAAATGTCTTTTTCAAAATATTCTAAAAGACACAGCCGGTAATCGACACCCTGTGTAACCAAGTCATGAGCAATATGGTTGTTTTACAAATATAGAAAAATAGGTTAACATTTTTATTAATTCTGCCCCCTGTCGCCTCTAAAATAATTTACAATAACGAACAACGTGCTTTATCTTAAACATTAAATACCGAATTAATATTTATTTAAGAAATGGAAAAGATATTTTAAATGCATTTATATATAAAGATAAC